GATTGTCACCAACACACGACCCAGTAGCTCTGCAAACTGCCACAGCAGTTTACCGGCTTATGATACGTTCATGATCCACACTTGGTTTTAAGGCATGGAACCGTGGAGTAGCCTAAACCGATGCAGACTGGACATGAAAGGTGAAAGGGGCACCGGGGGGGCGGGGGCACTGACCGTGGGCCATGGGGTTCTGCTTGACGTACTCGCGGCGCACGGTGATGTTTTTCAGCAGGCACTGACGGGCGTGGGCACGCCGCTCCTTCACCGGGTCCTTGGCGCACAGCGAGAACACAGCCAGGTACTCCAGGGGCAGTAGCAACTTGACCAGCGCCATGTGCAGCTTCTGCGCGAAGATCTGCCGCACTTGGTAGCACTCGTCCTGTAGGGGGCGATAACCTCGAGGTGATCGCGAGCTACCCCAGCCTGAAAGAAGCTCACACCGTGAGCTTGTCCCGACGCCGACAGGAACAGAGCACGCCCTTGGGGGCCGGGACTCACGTTAATGACAAGGGCGCACAGGTGGAACTGCTCCGGTGTGATGATGTCATGGTAACAGGGCTCCTGCGCCAGCTTGAGAATGGCGCCTCCTGCAGCCAGGCGCAGGCGGGACATGTCTGACTTGCTATGGATACACATGGACAGGAACATGAGGGACCAGGAACAAGGGCTCCCCAGGACACTTGCGATCTCGGCGAGGCCGTCCTGTTGCCCAGGAGACAGACGGGGAGGCGGCCAAACGGGTACCTGATCTTCTTCTGCTCCGTCAGGTCTCCCTCGCTCACCAGCATGGCCGACAGGAGGCGCAGCGTGGAGTTGGCGGATTTCGACTGGTTGTTTTTCATCCCCAGTAACCAGCGTACCAGCAGCTTAACGGCCTGGACCTGGAGACAATTACACAACAGCTTCGCTAGAAAGTACTGCGGACGGCACAGACCCCTAAGCGTCAGTGGGGGAGGCTTTTCCAAAAGGGAAAAGCTTATATTCACTCATGCAAGATTAAGCAGCAGTCCCAAGACACAACATACAGATGGCAACAAAATTATAGGTTAAAAGACGCAGTGTATTTAGAAGGGTGTGTTTCATTTACACCTGGAGATCACAGGCAGCACCCTCTGATCTCCCGAGGGCTGAACAGGAGAGAAGGGAGCAGTTACCTTGGCCAGCACCTCCGGGGAAACCTCCTCGTCAGAAGCCCACAGCTTGCCGTTCTTGTTGCCCGTCGACTGGTTTGGGAGAGAGACACTTAAATACTCCAGCGGAGGCACAGAGGAGCTACATGGGGGGCTTGTTAACGCGTGACATGGAATATTTGAGCCCTTAGGGTTCTGTAAATTGCACAGAATTAGCCAGCTACGTCAAGGCCATTCATCTGCTGCGTTACATATGAGCAGAGCTAGACCAAGATCACAAAATCCGACAAACTGTATCCTTCCATCCAATTTACTTTTTAGCTCACGAGACACTTAAATTCAGAGCCACCGACGACTGACTTTCAATAAGCGTGATCGCTGCTTCATGCGATGAGTACAAAGACCGCCGGCCTGGTGGAGATTGGTGGAACTGAGCCCGTAAACACGCTGAGCATTCTGTGGCATATGGCCGGACCTTCTCACGGCCCACTCGAGAGCAGCTCTCAGGGGCGGAGGAGGACGATGGAACTGACACTGCCCCCAGAGGCGAGCGAGTAAGTATGCCAACACAGCAGGGGAAACTGTCTCCAGCCCACTGGTCTATATAACAGGGACCGCTGTGCCAAAACAGCAGAGGCATTATGGGAATAAGGCTGGCCAAAACAACCTGGAAACATAATCCTTTACATTATTGCGCCATGCAGCCAGCCTACTGGTCTCTAAATCTCTCTCTAACAGCAGTTGGCGTCTCGCTGGGAACGGCTGAGCTGCTGGGCCAAGCGGTGACTCACACGGCGGAGACGAGCTGGCGTGTGGCGGCCCTGGGGGGCCACGGCGACGGGCCCTCACCCTGTCGTTCATCAGCAGGTCCTTGACGATGAAATTGGCCACGATGGACTTCATGGGCGAAGCGAACTGGTCCGGTGCCAACATGGCGATGTGGCCTAACGACACCAGGGGCGTGATGAGCTGCTCGGGGACGTTGCCATTGAGGCCGCGGGACAAAGGCTGTTTTGGAGGGGGGAGGGGGGGGGGGTCAACTAGGTTCGCTGCCGGCTTTCTACAGGCAGCTATGTTCATGGTACGGCGGCTCACCTCAAAGATCTGCGCCAGCTGGACCTCCTTGTTGTGGAAGATGGCGTGGATGCAGTGGACGGCATGCTTGGCCTGGTGGGGGGTGCCCCTCTTGGCCTTGTGGTGCAGGATGGGGATCAGGGTCCTAAGCGGGCACATGAACAGCAGTGGCCCAAACGTCAAACCTCACTGAAGCAGCGGACGGTGGGGGGGCGGCGGTCTGGGGAGAACGAGGCCTTACGATCGTATGTTGGGCAGCTCCGCCTCGATCTTTTGTCCCGTGTTCCTGAAGATCTGGATGGCTGCCTCCGCCACCTTGTCGTCCTCCAGTTTCAGACACTGCAGCAGCGACTCGTACGTCTCCGAGGAGTGGAAGGAGGTGGGGTGGGTGAATGAGAGCACCTGGGAGGGAGGGGCCCAGCGTCAGTGCACCAGGGCTCTGCCATTATGGCCCCATTCCAAATCATCTACAAAAGAATCCATTTTCGCCCCCATTATGGAGAAACATCTGGGCCGGCAGCTGACACAGCAGATAAGGCTGGACGTGTGCCAGACCCAGGAGGTGCCCTGCGGGCGAGGAGGCAGCCCGGCGCCTCCTGAGGGGAACCTCCTCCCATGCAAGTCACTCGGGAAAACAGAACCTGATACATAATCCTAACAGACAGACACGCAGAGCGTCAAGCGCAGCCCCGCAGAACCAAAACAGGGTCCCGAACAAAACGACGGCGGGGCGGATGGCTGCGCCGCAGGGGATTGTGGGAAACATGCTGACCTTTAGTAACTCCAGGCCAGATCGGATGGCCGTGTCGGGAGTCACGCCCTCGTCGTCGTCGTCCGCTGTGCCCTCGATTGATCTGTTCAGGAGTTTCACCAGAGCACTGGCAAGGGAGGGAGGGAGGGAGAGAGGGAGAGAGAGAGAGAGAGAGAGAGAGAGACAGAGAGAGACTTTGGGTCAGGCAGTATCAGGCTGTGAAATACCTGATAGGCAGGTAGGTGGGTATGTAGATAACTAGCTGAAAGTTTAATGCCATGTCAGCATCTCATGGCAGGAACTAGGTTCAGTCAACCATCCATATAGAGACAGGAAACAAGATAAAACTGTACATATAAAACAGATAAACAAATTGATATATAAAGGGGTTTAAAAAATTACAATGTCTTAAATTCAAAGGATAAAAGGAAAAAATGCTTAAAAAATGAAATGCTCAATCTGGATTCCAGATCCAGGCTGTGTTTTCAGTTCTCCCAGGTAAGTTAGTTTAATTACTGATCCTGATTGGCCACAGAGGCTTCACACCTGGCTGACAGGTAACGGAAGGCTGGAAAATCCAAGTATATATTACTGTAGCCGGGAGCCGAGTGGGAGGGGCAGAGTCGAGGAGGAGGGATTTATCACGAGTGGTAGGGGGGTTTATAACGAGGGTTAGGGTATCATAACAGGCTCCTCCTACAAACCCCCCCCACACTGCCACCCACTCAGTTCCCGGCTGCTACGTTGTGCTTCTCGGAATATGAGCAGGGTTCGGCCTATGAAGACTGTGGATACTCCTACTCTGAGGCACGCATCAAATGTTTACGGTGAAAATTCTGAAATCCTTTATGGTACCACGTTATTAAACAGCAGAACAGCAGCAGATCATACTGAACAAGGGAAAATATGCAGACGCTTCAAGAAACCGGTCACATTTCTCGAAAAGAAAAAGAGGCCTGCAGTTACATGACACTAACACTAGGGGTCGCAGCAAAATGCCCCAGCATTCTAAAGCAGTGGATTTTGGACTCTATATGCCGACTCCATATCCCACTAAAGTGGCCCATTATCTGGTGAAGGTCATCGGCAGCATGTGGCGGTCTGCAGACAGAGGCTGGTACCTGATGGCCTCCGAGTCTATGTGCACGGGGGCGATACGCTCCAACAGGAACTTCACCATCTCCAGGAAGGGGTTGGTGGGCTGCTTGGGGAACGTCAGCTTGCGGGAGATCTCCCTCTGTAGGGGACAGTGACACATGCACCTGAGGCATGAGCCAGCGAGGCAGAGTCGCTCGCTGCTTACAGACAGAGGCAGCGAGGCAGTCTCGCTCGCTGCTTACAGACAGAGGCAGCGAGGCAGAGGCAGCGAGGCAGAGTCGCTCGCTGCTTACAGACAGAGGCAGCGAGGCAGAGTCACTCGCTGCTTACAGACAGAGGCAGCGAGGCAGAGTCACTCGCTGCTTACAGACAGAGG